GGGCCGCTTGAACGGGCCGCTGCGCGTGTCTGCCGCGAGGCCGGAGGTTACGAACGTGCTTGTCCGCGACCTCAACCTCCAAGCTGCAAGGCGGGATGACCGGCGCATCGTTGCCAATCGGGTGGGCGTCACGGTGCCGCTTGGTCGTGCTCGGCATCGAGGTTGGCGGAAGCTGGAGTGCTGAAGCTGCCAACTTCGTCCGGTGGTTGGCCCGATCACGAGCATGCACTGCCCTCCCTTTGCAGCGTGCAATAACAGAGGCTGCCTTCGTTGGGCGATGGTCTGCCGCAGCCATAGGTCCCTTGCTACTAGTACCAGCTGCCAGCCCGAGGGCAGGTTGCGACATGATCACCCAACACATGCAACGGGCCTTGGCAGCGGCAACGGGTTGGGGCCCGCAGCAGTGGAAGTCGGAGGCGGCGGAGGAGTAAAACGCGGAAAGGCGCCGAGTCGACGGCGAGCTCGGGAACAGTAGGACGGACAGTGAGAATTTTCGGACATCAAAACGTGTGGGAAAAAAAACAAAACTTGCCGTCGCAAAAAGATGCGTGGAAAAAATAATCTTTGTGCTTGCTCCTCGAGTGTTTCGGTACCGCGAACTTATGTTGCTTGGAAGTCGGTGGAGAACGTGAGTTGGAGGCGCCAGCCGCAGCAGTTGGGCAATCGCCGGGAACTCTTTTTGCAGGGTCCTGCACCAAGTGGAGGAGTAGCACGGCCCGTGCCAAGCACAAATCCACACACACAACTGCGAAAGTCTCCACCATAATTGCAAGCAAGAGCATGTTCGGAAGAAGTGCTGCCGGAAATCTCCGGCTACCACATGCTACCACATCAACACCGGAAGCATTCTTTCATGTGAGTTGTTTGCCAATGCGAACGATCTATGGCACAAAGACACCCCGCATCAACCGGAAGTGGATCTACCGACGGCTCATTATGTCGATTGGCACAAGTCCCCGGGTGGGGGCATCAAAAAAAATCTTAAAGATCACAAAAAAATATCTTAAATGACCAAAGAAAATTAATCTTGTTTTAAACGCAAAATAGAAAGGAGGCGGTGTAATACGCGTTCCAGGTGGAGCTTTTGCCCCCCGTTTGCTTCAGGAATCCCGCCAGTTCATTGGGAAGAACATTTTGTCTGTCCAGCAAAACCCGCTAAATACTCGGGGGAGTCCTTTTGGCCGTGCATGAAAATGTTGGCTCCGGAGTGTTTTTTTTGTTTTTGCTGGTGTATGTTTCTTGAACATGCCCCCTCATTTGGCGATTCCGTTTCATCATATATCTTAAACACGCCCTCTCACTTGGCTATTCCCGGTCATCATGTATCTTAACATGCCCTTTCATTTGGCGATTCTGATTCATCCTGTACCTTAAACCCGTCCATGTATGAGGCGATTCCGGTTCATCGTGTATCGTAAACATGCCGCCTGATTTGGCGAATCCGGTTCATCATATATCTTAAACACGCCCCCTCATTTGGCGATTCTGGTTCATCATATATTTTAAACACACGCACTCATTTGGCGACTCCGGTTCGCCAATGTTCGTCATGTGTCTTAAACATGCCCCTCGTTTGGCGATAACGGTTCATCATGTGTCTTAAACACGCCACCTCATTTGGCGATTCCGGGTCCCGATGTATCTCAAACACGCCCCCTCATTTGGCGATTGCAGGTTTACATACATCGTAAACACACCCCCTCATTTGGCGAGTCCGGTTCTTCATCATCATCATCATCATCACCATCATCATCATCACCATCATCATCATCATGTGTGTACGTGTATGTATATATATATATGTTTGTATATGTAGATATATACACATTAAGCACACCCACCCACTTGACATTCCACGTCTTCATAATTCTCAAATCACTTGGCGATTGCGGCATTTGCAACCCCAATGTACGTGTGTATCACGGGTTCTGATACGGTCCTGCCATATCGGCCCTGCTTTTGCTGGCAGGATGATGTTGCAGACAGAACGACTGTTTGATGGGCTTTGAAAACTGATTACGTTCTAGAAGAGTTTTGAGATTGACTCAATTCTTCTTGATGGCGCCATGTTCTGGAAAGCAAGCCATGCACAACATGAAAAAAAAGCAGGTGGGTGGGGAGACGGCGGGGGGGGGCAGCCCTCCCCCCCCATTTGCGAACCCAATGCACGGATTGTGCATGTGGCCAGCGCACGAGTTGGGCATGGACAACTCTGATGCGGTGCACCTGGCTGCCTTCGTGCTTCGAATGCCGGATCCACACCGTCCCAGCGCACGTCGCCTGTAAGCGGCCACACTACGCCTGTGCACAGGAAGTAGCGAGGGCATGCAGCTGGCGAGAGGGGGAGAGGCTGCGGAAGAGGAGGATGATTTTGCGAGTAGGTCACGGAGAAGGGGCTCGCCATCGACATTAGCAAGGGCGGCAGCAAAGGCAAGTGATGGAAAGTGTAGCGAGTGTAGAGGGATCGAGCTCGAAGAATGGAATGTAAACACACTTCATCAACAGCTCAGCACGCAGGAAGCTAAGGTCCTTCCCCCTCTGCAAACTCCCTGAGGTCCTGGAAGTGTTGAGTGCAAGACCTCCTGAAGTTTCGTAGCGTGCTCTGTTTTGCAATACCTGCAACTGCACGACATTTACTTGGGGGTGGTCCCATACATGTCCGAGGATGTTTCACACATGCACTGGGAAAACACTGTTCCGACAGTCGTTGCCTACGCGGCAACGACCACTGCTGCCAGCTTCCAGGAATTTCCAAGAGGACTTAGAACAAGGATTTCGGATGGAACGTGTCAGGACGTGTATGAATCTGTGTGGGTGTCGCCCAAACCAAAGGCAACAGAGAATTGAAAAAACAAGAGTTTCGTTCGCCTGTCATCGACATTATGGGGGATTCATGAACACGGAATAGTCTTTTGAACGGGCTTCCAATGTCTACCCAATCCTTAAGCGGTCGGCGACCGGCACAACCGAAGAGATGAGACTGACCCTGACATGCTGACGCAGGTCTGACCGGGACACTTCATACAGTGGCCTTCAATTCTCTGTCGGGAAGCTTGTCGATTTCGATTCCGGCACGTTCGGACTGTGTTTCTCAAGCGCAAGATTTTGCTTGCTCTGCTAGGCCCACTTGGCGCTGCACGCAGTCGCGGAGTCTTAAACTGACACGTCTGCGGGAAAAGATGTTACACATTGTGAATCCCATTCGGGAGTCGACCCAGACAGTCTGTCACATCAGGGCAGGCCGCAGGGTAAGAAGCGTGCTCTTCAGATCACTCAAATACTTTAGCTGGGACGCATGAAAACGCTTCATCTCGCGTGCCAATAAGATTAAGTCAGATGATCTGGCAGCTCCATTCAAACGCATGGAGGCTTCCAGGAACTCCTCAAAGTTGATCTTGCCATTGCCGTCAATGTCGATGACTTCAAGAAGCCTATGTGCTTCCGACGGATGGACGTCGATGGACTCGAAGAACTCTTGCCTCTCCCAAGATTCTATGTATAGGAGCCCACGACGCCGACCCCGTTCCAACAAAACACGAAACAAAGAACACACACACACACAGGCACGACGGCAAATCTTGAGGACTGGCAACCAAGTCACACCGCCGGGTTCGATGTGTGGTCCACGATTTCCTCGGGGCTGATGAACCCTGAGCCGTCCAGATCGATCTCGCAGAAGAGCCGGCGTGCTTGAAGCACACGGTTCCTCAACTTTAGATCCTTCGCCTGTTGGCTCATCGTCTCGACGAAAGTGCCTGTGATCACATTCAGCAATGCCAAGATGCAAAAGGCCATGAACACAATGAAGAGTAAGCCAAACCAGGGGCTGATGCCGATGATGAGCGGATCAGCAATCTCATGCCAGTCCACGCCGCCTGTAACACCTTGAAAGAGCGACAAGACGCTTTGGGGCATGGAGCCCCACCATTTGGTCATTTTCTCCTGCTGGCTTGCACTGTCGTGCTGGCTTTCAGAGTTCTCAAGCCGGTAGGCAGTGGCAGCCTGCGTGATGTAGATTGCCACCACATAGATGGCCAATAGCAGTAAGAGGGCCGACCACAGGAATTGCTTCAAAGAGAGGAAGAGGCAATTGATCAGAAGCTGCAAATCCTGAGCGAAACGAACTGCACCAACGAGTCGCACAACCTTGATCGCCCGCAGGATGCGAACAATACGCATCATTTCTGTGTTGTATTGAACCGTGCCGCCTCCAGTGTGCATAGCAACAGCAAAGAGAATCTCTTCGGCAACTTGAGAACTCACCAAGATAAGATCCAAAACATTCCAGCCACATCCAGTCATGGTGAAAAATCGCCTTCCGAAGGCTGCAAGCCGGACTGAAAGCTCCAGAGCAAAGAATATACAGAAGACGATGTCCAAAGCTCTCAAATACACAGGCACTGTGCTGACCATGTTTGAAGCTACGTAATCCGTCTGTATTCCTATTGCTATTGAATTGGCAATCAGCATGAACATTGATGTGGACTCGAAGACCATGTTACTCACAACTCTCCAAGCCAGCCTCTGCAGGACAGACTCTCTGAATCCAAACTCAACGGAGGAATGACGCTGGAACGAGAAGACCTTGTCCAAGCCAGACGGGCCGGACGTACGAGATGGATACGTAATGGCAGTTTTTGACTGAAAAGCTTGGATTGTCTCCGTCTCCGTGTGCTCTGTCTCTGTCTTTGCCGGAGCCTCCTCGGCCTCCTTAGACATCGGACAGCCTACAAACCACCTCGAAACTCCTGGCCTTGAGACACATTCCTAAAACGGGCTCAGGCTCTCTGCCATCCTACACATCTGAAGCATAAATGAAGGGAGGGCGCTTCTTCCAATGCGCCCATTGCGGGCTCCACTTCGAGAGCTGGAGCCGGAACGTTGGGAACGTCGGGCACAGATGGGAACGCAGTGCCTGCATTACGCAAGGGTGTGTGGTGGCTGTGGTGCGAGAGGTCCTTGACAAAGCGCTTTGATCCTTCGTCCCATAGTGGCTGCTCGAAAGCTTGCCCTGAGAAGCGACGTTTCAAGGTGATCAGGCCACCAAAGCTCGAGGTGCGCTTTATCATATCATCCTCACCGATCTTCTTCAGCATCCGGCTGGGAGCAAAAGCCTTCCCAGGACGATACAGCCAGTCGCTGCCCTCTTCCGGAATTTCTGGAGCCTGTTCTGACGAGGTCTCGGAGCAATCAGAACGATTAAAGCGCTTGCACGATTCTGCACTGGCCGTGCCATCCGTAGGCAACGGCAAAACTTGCAGATGCTGCTCATGCCGAACATGCAGTGGACCGTGGCCATCGTGCTTGGAGTTCATGAACTCGCGCACTTCTCGGCAAACATGATCCACCAGCTGCTCACGCAGCTGCCTGAATTCGAGCTTCACGATCTCTAGAAACTCCAAATTCTGATCACCCCGGCTCACGCTCTCAGCCATGGCACCAGGCTCCTCCATGCTTGAGGCTTGCAATGTCCCTCTATCACTAACTGCAATTGCCGAAACCTTAGGCAACCCAGGAAAACGCCTCGAAGCATGTAACCTGACTTGGCTCCATCTTTCTGCCCAAACGATCAGGCATGTGACGACATGAGCAGATGGATTGACAGGAACTGGAGCCAAAGCCTGGGCACGCACCGCATTTGCAAACCATTCTAGACATCGCTTTCCCAGCATCCAAGCTTATACTGCATGCAGATCCATTCTTTTTGACCCGTCGCGCTGTCACACATGCCGTTTCCCAGGACATGCATGTAAGCAAGAGGGGATACACTGCATCACGGTTTTTGACGTGAGCCTGACCCACCAGTTGGTAAACTGAGGCTAGAGTAGACCGACGCGGGCTCACAACAGATGCACACTAACAGGAAAGCAGCAACAAATTATGCGGCATGTAAAGGGAGTGCTGCTTTCAGGCAGCCTCGCAAAGGACACGCCGCATTTGCTTCACAGCTGTCCAAATGATCTCTCTGCATATATGTGCATCATAAGGTACAATACATCAAGTTTTGAAACAGCTGCTTCTGCTTCTGAATTTCCCTCATATGTCATCGAAGCACTCGTGACTTCGCCAGGTTCTGCGAGTCCTCTTGCTACTAATCCCGACCCCCGCATGGTGGAAAATCCTTGCAAGTGCCCGAAATCGCACAGAAGGCTTATTATAACCTTATAGTCGACATACATGCTCGGAGCATAGCTGGATCCACGAAGGTCCGAGGATGGCACTTGGCCATGCTGAGGCAGAGATGTGCTACTATGTGCTCTCCCTGGATCTCCGACCACGTGTTTAGCTCGCAAGTCGCACATCCGAAGCATTGGTCACAGCAGATCCCTTGAAAAGCGCACCAAAGAAGCGTCCGACTTTGCACTGAACAAAGAAGCGCTCACGCGAAGCGGTCGCCGCGAGGCGGCGAGGCCGTCACCTGGCAACCCACTCGGAAACGCGGATATGGAATGCTTCCGCGCCTGCGGCAAAGCAAACTCCCTTCACTCACGATAATTGCATTTGGCGTAGAAATTAACGTATTGTCGGCATCCATCACACATGATACGAAAAATGATCAGTGGATCAGACGCCGCGTTTCTGTCCAAGCGCTGTGAAGACAGTTTGGCACACTGCTGAACAATGCATTATAGAAACTGTATAGCTGCAAGGCATGAGACTCCGCCTAGACCTCACTCTCTCGAGCCAGTTGTCTTGACCTCGGCAACTGGACTTCCGCCCGAAACCTCACCTCCATTCCAGCAGGCATGGCGAAAGGCCCCGGCACAGAAGATCGTCCAAGCTGCTCGAATCAGCGCCTGAAGGACATATCATCACACAATTCAGCAGGGGAGCTAAAGCAGTTCTGACCAAAGCTGAGTGCGGTACTATTTGTTCTTGAAGCGCAGCTATCCCGCAAAAGCGTGCTCCCATATGGTACAATGCACGAAAAGGATTTCAAACATCGGCCACTTCGCGAACAATCTGCAATCCAGTGATCTACGATCCTAACTTTGTATCAGATGACAAGCCTCGGGCTTGACATGCAAGTGACACCTTTTGAAATCCAGAACGCACAGCATTAAAAGAGACAGGGGCCAACAGAGCCTTTCTCAGGTAAACAGACTGATGATGACACGTCATGAGCGGTAGTTCAACTGCAGTTCTGCGGAACAGAACACCCCATGAAGGTGTTGACCCTCACCTTCAAAGCTTCATCTAGAACGATAGTCTTACCAAGTCTTCAGCGAAATCTGGTTCACCTGCGCGCAGTTCTTCTGCGAACAAGCGCAGACACCTGAGCAAGAAAACGGTCATAAGCTAGGCCATCGCTTGGCAAACACTCATGTCGTGAAACACAGACTGAAGCTGTGAGGAACCTGAGCCGCTGGCAAACGGCGTGCACATCTCAAAAGAGAGGTACGTAACGCGTCTTGGGTCTCGAATTTTGCCGATGTCCGGATGTGTGAGGACAGACTCAGGCTACTAGTAACGTCAATTTTTCCAGATTACTTCTAATGGTTGCCTGCATTTCCAAAGGAATCCTTGTAGCCCACAAAGCCGTCACTGAAGCCATCCTCACATTCATCTGACCAACCCAGCCTGCTTGCATCAAAGCCCAGCGCTAAAAAGCACTTCGAACAGGCTAAGAGTACTGGCAAAGCCCAGTGAAGCGTTCACCCTGTGCAGTCTCGGTTGAGCTTGAAAGAAACTGCAAGCAGCATGTCCAATACAAACTTCCTTTCTGACCTTCAGGGTGAATACACTTCCACATGCATCACAGGATGCCCTTTGCCATCCGGATGGGGATTTGCGGAGGCTGCTTACACAGCATTGCAGCTGTTTGGCTGCTAGTGTACTGCCAGAGGGTGTGTCAACAATAAATGCCTCACCGTGTCAGGTAATATTTGGGTACTGTGAAAAAACGACAAACTACAACGATACACCACGACCAAGCAAATCAGATTCCCAGCAGAACACGGCTGAGCGCTCTTTGCTGTCAGCAGTGCTCCCGGGGTCCTCCCTCAATGGCTAGAGTTTTCGAAGATCTAATGGCACCTGAGCCAGCACGAAGCTGTGCATCACGGCATGCATGAGAGAGGTGTATCGAGAGGTCTGGCACTAAGGGACGCACAAGCCGGACGATTTCACCCAGCATCTAAAGTTCGACAGAGAGCCTGCGTTTACGTTGGCAAGCACGGCTCAGACCTGGGAAAGCAGACCGGCAAGAGCAAGGCCAGCCTCCGAGCCGCTTCCAAGCAAACCAGGTGCAAAACCACCAACACGACAATGACCTCAGAGGATTCTAAGCCAGAAAGGCCTCTGGACGATGGCTGCAGAACTCAGGTACCGACATGAGAAGCCCAATGGAGACGCCACCAAAGCTGTAAAAAGTTGAGATCACGAAGCCCTTTGAACATTTAGAAACAGCTCGCTGAGATTTGCTTGCTCTGCTTGAGGAGAGAAGTTACAAGGGCTCCAAACTCCTTGGAGGCAGCGCCGGAGGTGCTGTAGCTACTCAGTCACCTGCAGGAGCATGTCACCTGATTGCGGTGCCCGGCTTTGCGGCTTCGCTGGCCATCCGGTCGCCCAAGCATGACGCTGTACAAGGCCAGGAAGGGCTAAGCCAGACGGCGCAGCAAGCGCGAACCAATATAATTCAGGCTGCTACAGGGTCTGGGAAGGGTTCCAGCCGGCACAACCACTCAGAGACGTGCCACCGGCAAGCTCACCTAGTTTGCACATTTGCCGGCATGACACAGGCATGCGCTCGGGCCCGAGAGTACCAGTCGATAGCAACAAAAAGGCTTGAATTGCCACACCCTGCTCCAAAGAAAGGTGGAAATGGTCGAGGTACAGCTTCTCTTCTTCTCGAGCCGGAGCACAAATGCCCCATGTCTCTCGGCTGGAAGGCAGCTGAATCACGCTCTCCAAACCGACCTTCAGCAACCCTGGATGTTGCTTACATCTCCTGGATGTAGAGAAGGAAGTGAGGGAGAGAAAGAGAGAAAGACTCAGCGTGCCCGCTAAGATCACAAGATCTGGCATTCGGCGCAAGCTTACCAAACGACCTCAGTTGAACAAACGTTCAGGGAATTCACATGCACGGCACTTTCTGATGACAAACAGTGGCACTGCTACGGCCCACGGAATACAACGGCACTAGCGGCATATCATTAACTCAGCACATGAGTCCTTCGTCCGTAAAGGCGCAGAAAAGGCGATGGTCACCTAAAGATGTTTGCTGCCTCAACACTGGTCATGTCGCTATCGGCCAAGGCATTGCTGCAGTCCGTGGTCAAAACCGCAGTTAGAGTGGGAGCAGGCCAAAAAGTATGTGGAGGGAAACAGCAGCAGCAGCAGCGACACCAGCAACAACAACAACAACCACCACCACCACCACCACAACCCCTGCAAAACAGGTCCAAGTCTTGCATGAAGCCATGTGTCCGAGAATCACAGAGAAACGGAAAAGACCACAACCCCAACCCTGAAACCTGAGACGACATGAGCATCGTAATTAGTCATCCGAAGCGAGATCTCGTCACCGATCGATCAACCTGCCCGGAGACCGACCGACCGTCGCCGAAGTCACTGCCGACTCTTCCCGGAATCGCCCCGTTCCCCATAAAAAGGTGAACTGGCTGGGACAAAACAGAGATCCTCCGCCGACAGGTGATCGCCTCGACTCATGGCGTTTGACCCTCATTTTCCAACCTCACCGACAACAACAACAACAGCAAGCTGAGCCGGACTGAGCCGGATGCATACAACATGAGAGATTCAAAAGAAACATGCCCGTGACGAACTTTCCTGCGATTTCGTAGAAGAGTCGGCAACCTGAAACTTCGCGAATCTCAGGTACGGACAGCTTGCATTAGCTCCGTTCGGTGCTTTGTCGAAGACCTTTGTTTAAAAGTTTCCAGCATCGAAGATCAAGAATGAGAAATGTAGCAACTGCACAGATGCTAGCAGATTATGCCCATAATGCGAGCACACATTGGTCTGTTACGAAGCCGAAGCTCTGGGGCAGCGGCTTTTCTATGATGGCGCGAACCACCTCATCTGAAACTTCCAACCCATCCTCGCCGACAATCTGGTCGATCCAGCTCAAATCCGGGCCCTGTGAAGGACACGACTTTCATGACATGTCACAACGACAACATCCTGCCTCCTCAGTGTCTGAGAAAAGGGTATTGTGCTGCCCACCTGCTGTTGCTGCTTCGTATTGGAACTTAAAGAATAAATCGCAACGGCTGCTCTTATGGCAGGGGCAACCCGCATCGGACATCAATCTCTGACAAGAATGCAAAGCCTGAAGTGTGGCTGGAGCCAATGCTGTACACATCCGGCGTGGAAGGGGTCAGCCTGGGTAGTGACAAGGCCGAGACCAAGAAGACCCACCCACCGCGCTACTGTGAAAAAATCGAGAGTCTTCCGCATGCCGAGGCGGAAA